GAAGTAATAGACGGTACAACTACAACAGCTTTTGGACTTGAGACCGTAACACCTTTGTTGGCGTTGTAGGTACTGACATTGTTGATATCTCCCTCAATTTTTCCTTGTTTTATAGCTGGCTCGATCATCTTACCAGCCATAACTAGATCTGAGAAAGTTCTCGATGTAATTGCCACCAGGCGCCCGAAATAAGGTGCCTTCAGGGTCTGTAAAAACAGCTTTTTAGTTTCATTTTCATCCAAGGGTGGATGAACTTGGACAGGAAAATCCCTCCAATGCTGTGCGTATTGTCGGAAACTTTCATTGTGCTTTTTCTCCAGGCTTTGTAGCATAACTCGGTCTGGTCTCATATCGTTGATATGCTTGTATTGTTCCAAGAAAGACTTGGCTAAGTCTTTCCATGTCTTGATATGAGTTCGGCTGAGCTGCTTGTACCACCAGATAGCTGAACCGGACATGTTCTCATGGAAGCAGTGGATCAGGAGTTGGTCATTCCCTACATATCCTGTCATCTTCCGACAGAACATAGTGATATGGGCTGAAGGGCAGCTGTTCCCGTCGAACTTCTCAAACTCAGGAACTTTAAACTTTGGTGGAAGCACCAAATCTGGAACCAGACTCAGCTGCATTGCATCCACTCCATAATCATCATGGTCCCCTTGGACCATCTTCATTTGATCTTCTAACATCTTGATCTTCTTTTCCATCTTCTTTTCCTTATCCTCCTCGTCAAAATCCGGGACATGATAGTCTTCCGGATGAGTGTTGGTCGCGGATGCTTGTATATTTGCACCAGATATAGCTTTCCCCTTGATAGCATATGAGTCCTCTTATAATTCGGGTAAGATTTCAGGTGAGACAACCCCTTGTGGGGTAGGTGGTATAGTTACCTCTTCCGGTAAACCTGCCCCAAGCGCACTGGTCTGTTGTAAGCCAACTAACTTGGCAACGATCTGATCAACCAAATATTCTTGGTTCTTCATGATTGTATTTAGAGTACTCAGACTAATCTGGTTTATCTTATATTGAAGTTCTTTCTGCAATTTTGCCATGTTCTCCTCGATTTGAGCCATTCTGGCCTCCATTTGTTTTTTTCTTTTTCAAGCGGGTGTTATACGGATGATGCGTATTTAATGTCTGTAGTGGTAGACTTGGTGTTTTCTCTTTCGCTTTCTGAGACATGTTCTGTTTGTTAATACGAATGTAAAAACATGGAAAATATAGAAATAAACATGAGATATAGAATGCAAAATATGCAATGCATGATGTATGTAACTTAGAGGCACTGATCCAGAAAAAGTGTTCATTATTATAAATAATCTTTATTCAGGCAAAAATATATTATCTTGTAAGTGACATAAAAATAATCAAAGGTACACTCAGATTAAATCCTCTAAACCCCGAATAGCTTCTAGTAGATTGACAAGTCTTCTGCCTTCATCCGTTACTGGTTGAATACCTTGTCGAACCACTCCGGCTTCCCTTGCCAGGCCATGAAGATGACGGGCTGCCTTCTGTACTTGATCTAGGAAATCTCGGATGGTTGCGTCTCTGGCCAGTGTACTCTTGAAAGGCTGACTTTTGGTGTGCTTAACGTAGACTCGCCCTAGTTTGATGTTTTCACAGTGTAGCAGTGTTGTGTATTCTTCGATAGTAGGTACCATGTCCTCCCAGTTAAAAGTGAAACAACTGTATCCCGGGTTCCAGAATTGGACCATGGCTCTAATCAAGGGCTCATCAATCCTAACGTGAAGTAAAAGTGCAATGTCACCGTACCGTTGGCTGAACTTCTGTTTCCGATCATTCTTCCAGCTGTCCCAGATATCTCGAAGCTCCTGCACATTGTTCTGTTTTAGGCTGATAGATGCGTACCTAACCAGCTCTGACACATAGCTTTCTTGAAGGTTGTCTCCCTTTTCTTTCTGAGTCTTCTCGGACCATAGTCGTACCTCGGGGTTCTTAGTCTCTTGTATTACAACACCTTTGTCCATTAATTCAGATTATTTTGTGTAACAAACACATTTTTGGTGGATCAATACCTCTTTTAAATGATGCAGGTGATGAAAACAAAATAAAAGAGAACAAAAACAAAAAGAGTTAGTGAGGTAAATCAAAATAATAAAAATGAAAAATCTTACCCCACATAATATCTACCCCTCATGCTTATTATTCCTACCCGGACATGATCTCTATCCCGTAAGTTGGTTTTGAACAAGTCCTAACCGCATAAATTTCTAGTTCACATGCTTTGAACAGAAAGTAAAGCAGGAAATAATTCCGGTATCCTAGGGTTTGAAATGAGGTCTTGGGGTGGGCCCTAACTCCTTGTAGTCTCTGGGTTTAGGTTCTAAAAAAAAGGTACCCAAGTTCTCCTTGTTGGTGCCCCCTTGGGCTTACCAGACCCTTAGTCCTAAACCCATCACATGCTTGTGTGGACTAAGTTAAACTCGAGATGACACATTCCCTTATGCCCATACGGAGAATAAATTCACACGAAGGCATAAGGTATATGAATCCTGAAGGTTACTTGCTAGGCCCATACGATGAATAAATTCACACGAAGGCGTCGCTTTCACCCCCACTTAAAACGGGTTCGGAGCTCGGGTATAGAGCCTTTAGATGAAAAAAAGAAAACTTTGAAGGCTGAAATCATGAAAAAACGATTAGTCTAACTATTTACTCGAAAATAATCAAAAGTAAGTAAAAAGGATCGAAATATTACCTTAAAATTTAAACTTACCATTTTCGTTAAAAAGACAATTGGAAATTACCTTAGCCTGACTCACTTACCGTCCCCAGCGGAGTCGCCAAGCTGTCGCAACCGTCTTTCGGTTGTGCCCGGGATTGGGCTTCGACTTAGAAAAATGTGGATTGGAGTCGCCACCGATCATTTATTTAAAAATAAATGGGTTGATCGGATACCCTATTTCTTACCTGATCTGCGTCTTACCAGAAATATGTTGGGCTCGGGAGTCGGTTACGATCAAGAAAGGATTAGCACCCTTGAACCGCCCTTTCGGTACTACGTAATTTCCAGTTGTCTTAATTAAGAAAAATAACAAGTTAAATTAAAAGGTAAAGTTTCGATCCTAATTACTTACCCTTGATTGATTTGAAAATATCCTTTAAAAAATCGAGAAATGTGTTAGATAAACAAGGTAAAGAAAACAAATAAGATACAAGGGAAAAAATAAAATAAATAAAATAAATAAGTAAGATAAAAAAAATAGTAAAGTAATAATTATATATAGTAATATTAGATTTATAAGTAAAATATTATAGAAATATATATATATAATAATAATAAAATATAGTAAAAAAATAAATGAAAATAATTTAATATATATATACATATAATAATAATAACATGAATAATAAAAATAAATGAATAAAATATCCATATAATAAATAAAGGGACTAATATAGATTTTTAAAAAGCTCTTCCCCTCCTTTTATCGAAAATCAAACCGGTTTTTAAAAATAAGCCTCGGGGTAGATCTAGGTTCGAAACTTCGAAACCCCACCCATTTTGGTCATCAGCGCAACCCACGTTTTGGGTTATTCGAACCAAATCTCAAGAAAAATAACGTGCACATGCAAAAGAAAAAAAAAGAAAATGCTACCTTTTATTTCCTTTTCGAATCCTTTACAATAGTTTTGCCTTTGTATCTTCCCGTGCTTTCCTCTATGTTTTGTGTGTAAATCGTGTGTTACAATGGTGAGTTACAATGGCTATTTATAGTGCTTGTGGATCCTATCTTTAGGAATTTAAATCTTAGTAAAACTCTATCCTATTTTTAGGAGTTTGAATCCTAGCAAAATTTTATCCTATTTTTAGGAGTTTGAATCCTAGTAGGACGAAAATGTGTGTTGACAGAGGGCCTTGAGGTGGTGTACTTTGCATTAGTTTATAATACAAAGTACCCTCTTTAAAAAAAAGACTCGAACTTAAGATTTTACTTAAGCAATATTAAGCTACTTACCACTTGAATCAACTCTTGTTGGTACACTCAAACTTTTTAAATATGCTTGTGTTTACCTCCACGCCGTCGAAAATAATTGCTATTTTTTTATTCTTTATATTTGAAAATAAAATAATAAGAGAGTGCAATACCATTGAGCCAAATTCAAGAAGTACTTGATTAAGGGCTGTTTGTTTTCCTCTTAATAGAACAACGCGTTTGGTTCGTACCTCTGAATGATTCAGTGCTAACTGATTCAGCAAAACAGTGTTGAATGATTCGGCACAGAAGTACATTTTGAATGATTCAGAGCCATTATCAAACATCATGTCACATTCAGAGCTAATTCATACAGAATCTCTGAATCATTTAGCATTTGAATCATTCAGGACCTTAATCATTCAAATCATTCAGGACCTTAATCATTCTGAAGTAAACAAACAGCCCCTAAGATTGACAATTTATTAATTGTATATATATATATATATATATATTACATTCTAATAATTAAAATTAAGTAACTTAATTGATATTATTCTCGTTAAACCACCTAAATCTCATTAAACATTTTAACTAGACCCTCAAAATTTCTTTAAATTTCTCATTGAATCTCTTTATTTTTTTTAAAAAATATAATAATTAAACCTCAAATTATTATAACAAGATCCGCCACTGTTAATTTATTCAACAAATAAATCAAAATAAAACCCAAAATACTATAGTACATGGACCGATTAGATTCTTTTACCAAAAAATAGTTTGTATATATTTGGGTATGAAGAACCCTATAAAAGGCCACTGGCTCCAGTTTAACCTCCGTGAAATCCATACCCCCCAAAAAAAAAGGAACTAGTAAAGCCAACATTTCGAAGTGTGGTCAGCGGCGGTTGATGTTTGGCGACGTTGATTGAATTGCTTCGATTCAGTGGGTCATGAACAAAAAAATAAGACTCTTTTCTTAATTTGTATTGACGTAGATTGAATTGAATTCTTTGTTTTTTGTTTTTATAGATAATTTTCCATTTGAAACAATCCGCGATGAAGAACAAAAGTGCAATGGCGGTGGTTGATGTTTGGCGACGTGAAGTCGGAGAACTATCGAATAGGAAATTCGCCCAACGCCGTGCTGCTTCGGAGGTTACTAATACTCTTCTTTTTTAACAATATAAGTTGTTAATCTTATATACTAATTCATATCCATATTCCTAAATTGCGGTCGAGGTTGTGGATTCCATAGTAGTGTTGTAATTGTGGACTTTTGGACGTGATTTGTTTCCTAAAAATTATTATGTTTCTAGATTAAGGATGCGGTTGTAATATGGCGGTAACTTTAAAAATCGTTATGATGCGACTGTTACACTATATTACGGCTGTAATTTAGTACTATGCTCACATCTTATTGAGAAATTCAATGAATGGTGTTAAAGTTGGAAGTGGCTGATTTAATGTCCTTTACAAAGTTACATGTTGCATCAGGTTTTGATTTAGTTACCTGTTTTATGTACCAGGATCTCGTGCTACGATTAGACATTTTTGAGAAACTCGAAAAGCATCGAGGTTGTGTGTACACCGCAAGCTTTAATGGTGATGGTAACATTTTAGCTTCCGGAGCTGATGACAAGCATATTATATTATGGGACTGGGAAACTGGACTTCCCAAGCTTGCTTTCGAGTCAGGTCACGCCAGAGCCAAAGTCTACAAGGTTTTCCGAGCTAAATTCATGCCTTACACAGGCGATTGTAGCTTGATTACGTGTGCTTCAGATGGTCAGGTGAACAGATTTCTTATTTGGGCATGCAGCAAAGATCTCTCTATGCAGTGAATTGAGTAAGCCGACTAAAAATTGTTTTCAATTTTAGGTTCGACATGCTCAAATCTCGGAGTGCAGTGTTGAAACTAGGCTGGTGGCTAAACATCAGGGAAAAGCTTATAATTTGGCTGTTGAACCGGGAAACCCTCATTTAGTTTACACTTGTGGTGAAGATGCATTAGTGCAGCATGTGAGTTGAGTTGATAATTTAAGAACATTTATGAAATTCTTATTCTTGTTGTTGTTTTGTTCTATGATGATCTAGCCATAGCTGACTTGTGGAGCGGTTTTATACTTTTGCCTTTCAGATTGATCTTAGAACTGCAGAAGCTACAGAACTTTTTAAATGCCAAACAATAAAAGGTCATAGGGCTCATATGTCGATTATTCCTCTGCATGCTATTGTTGTCGATCCAAGGAACCCGAATCTCTTTGCGGTCGGGGGATTGGATGATTATACTCGCCTTTATGATGTTCGGAAATATAAGTGTGATGGTTCAACTGATTTCGGACAACCTACAGATTATTTTTACCCCCCTCATGTGATAGATAAATATTTAAGTGGAGAAACATGCTTGGCCTTTTCAGATCATAGTGAGCTTCTTGTCTCATGCAGAGACAAATCCATTTGTCTCTTTACTCGGGATATGGGATTGGGGCACAATCCAGTTCCATCTTCCCCATCCTCTGCATGTAGTGAAGCAAATGGAAAAGCTATTCCTCAAGTTTATAAGGGACATGGAAATTATCAGAATGTGAAGGGTGTTAGCTTCTTTGGACCCAAATCCGAGTATGTGGTTAGTGGATCCGGCTCTCGAATATTTATTTGGAAGAAGAAAGGTGGAGAGCTTGTTCATGTAATAAAGGCAGATGTACTCGGGGTCCAATGTGTCGAGTCTCATCCACATACCACTGCTCTGGCTAGCAGCGGAGTTGAGGGCATCAAGATATGGACACCAAAGGCTATCGATAAAGCCGCACGCCCAACAAACATTGAGCAGGATCAAAAGGTGTGTCTTGTCCTAATCTCTTTTTAATGTAACACACTACTTTTCGGGTTACAAATAAGGTTGGTTATGACATGAAATGCATTCTGCTTGAACAACATGCTTGTTGACAGTAGGATAGAACAGTGGAAACATCCCGAATTCTTGTTCCTTCTTGTTTATATTGAATTATCTTGAGTGTATGGAAGAATGTTTTAAACTTGGACTTGAGATGTATGGCAAGTAGAGGAGCTGACGTTCTGCCATTACATTCTTTGCAGAAGGTTCTGAACGGTCTCCCCCGCACCTTCTCTCGTATCGTCTCTTATGCTACATTCAACTATGTTGTATATAACGAAGGTGAAGATGATGAATTTGTTTCTCCTCTTGGTGGTATGGAGCCGTCTTCGGATGATGATAACGATAACGAATGGATATAATGATTGTCTTGATGTCCATGATGATATTGATGATGATGATGATAGCAAGGACCGCTGAAGTGTTTCTTTATGTCGTGGCTACAATGTTGAGATATTGTACCTAATCTAGGGATTTAAGTTAAAAATTTGCATTGAGTGGGGTTTCCATAGGTTTTTATGTTCTTTTTCGGTACACAAAATTATCGGACATGAGTTGGTATAAAGAGTCGTTTGAAGGTAAACACAGTGAGGATAGTTAACAGTCATAGGAGCTGTTTGGAAGGGGATACGGTTGATGAAGTCAATAGGGATGTGGGTCATTTGTTGTAAAAATAATACCTTTTCAATAATTTAAAAAGCTAAAATTCAAAAAAGAGATTTAGGAAAATAAAATCTTTACTTGAACATAAAATAAAGATATTTAAGAAAATAACATCTTTACTTGTACATAAAATAAAGATGTGTCAAGCGGATTACATATTTCAAAAGATGGATTTGTTTTCACTTATGTAACAGAAACTTCTCAAAAAGTAGCACCAGTTTTTGACACGAGAGGTAAATTGTATTTATATTCTTAACTTCTTTCTTTCATTTTTCACTCTAACCATAACAACATTGAAAATTTTGACCCAACTTTATGTTTCGTATGCAAAATTGTGTCCCATCACACGTTTTTTTTCCTTTTGAAAAGCACGACTAAAATGACGTCGTATCAGAATAAAAGTTATACTCGGTTCTACTTTATCCGTAGTAAATTTGATTAATTTTCTTTTTCTCTTTCTTTTATTTTGACTCTAATCGATATAAATATTGGAAGTTGTATCCGTAGTAAATCTGTATCTCATCAAATTTGTCTTTTAAAAAACTTGATTGATGTGCTCTAAGAAAGGGTATATTACAAATTTCATCATTTAACTTTATTTTTTTCCTATTTTGCTCATTAAATTTTAAAAGTTTTTATTTATTTTTCACTGAAATTAATACATTAAGTTTTTTTGGTTAATAGATTTTATTCTATCTCTTATTTTGGTCACTCCGCCGTTGAATAATTAATGGCGTTAAAAACGACGCCATTTACAAAAAACAAAATTTTCAATAAAACGACGTTGTTTTGTATTTATATAACAGCCCATTTTAACGTCGTTGACTATTTAACTGTTAAGTGACTAAAAAAATATAATGTATTAAATTCAATGAAGAAATATAAAATATTTAAAGTATAGTGAGTGAAATATAAGAAAGTAAAATTTAATTACTAAATTTGTAATTTACTTTAAAAGGGAACATGATTGATGTCTTGTTTTATTCCCTTTTAATAATACTGACTAGATTTTTAAAAGCGCACTTAAGGTACAGGTGAGTGCAAAGTAAAATGTCTTTGAAAAGATAGGCTCAACACAAGACGGAAAATTCTTCTAGGCACATGCTTTGGGATTTTTCTACATAGACATAATGGGCACCTTTCTGTCACCTTAGAGATAGAAACAGCTGCTCAACTACTGAATATCAACAAGAGTTTAGATTACAAATAAAATCAAAGAAACAAAGTAAAAAAGAGAAGATACAATAGAAGGAGAAGAAAAGAAAGGAGATCTAAATTAGTACAAACATATAGATCTATTAAACAAGAGTGATATGTTAATATACGAGCCACGTTAATGTCATAAGGCATTGATTCAGGAGAGGAGATTACACATTTTTTTTATTGTATAATGCAGGAATCCAACAGTGATGTGCAAATACACGAATTATAGTAATTAAAGGAGTTAAGGCATTAATCCAGACGAAGAGATTGCACACATTTGATTATACAACATTAATCCAACTATATATCAACAGACAAAAAAAAAAGTGACGGCTGTAAAACTATGCAAAACTAAATTTATATAACCTTGATAAGGCAGATCAACAGTATTGGTTTGACCCAATAAAAATAATTAGGGGCAGGGCTGCAACAATCTCCTAACAAATTAACCCGTAGGACAAGTAATGAGTCTCGAGAATGGTAGAAATAGGTATTGGTTCTTGAGGAGGGGACGAGCAATAGTGAAGAAGTAGAGTGGGAGGAAGAAGTTAAGTGCTTTAGGAAGGAATCGATAAGTAATGGGTGTAGATATGGTAGAAATAGGTATTGATTCTTGCGCCTAAACTTCAGGATGTTTTTATGCCTTGCCCCTTTTAAAAGAAAGAACACGGGTACTACTTTTCGGGTTACAAGTAAGGTCGCTTATGACATGAAATGCATTCTGCTTGAACAACATGCTTGTTGACATTAGGATAAAACAGTGGAAACATCCCGATTCATCGTTCCCTCTTGTTCATATTTTATCCAATAGAGACAAGTGTGTATGATTTTAACATATCGAGCATGTTAATTGTATTTTCAATACTGAGATCAACTTTCTTGTTAATTGTATGTGATGGCTTTCCATGTTTTCTTGGAACTGAATGAATAAATAAATGTACATATTCTGGGAACTTATGTTTAACTGAGAGAATCCATTGATTGAGTGGACATATAAAAGGAAATGTTGTTCTCCCAGAGGACTCGAGTTTGAGTAAATGTATGTGTACGCATTGTCAATACTTAATAAAGATTCTAGACAAATATTACCTTATAATCGTTTTAAATTATTTATAAAATATTGTTTAAATGAGAATTCAAATGCCAGCATTTTCTTTTTTGACAATTGTATTTGTTGTCAATCTTATATACTATCATATCTTACTGAGAAATTCAACGAATGGTGTAAAACAGCAAAAGGTGGAAGTGAAAGATTTATGGCCTTTACAAAGTCCCATTTTGCATTAGCTTCTGATTTAGTTATCTGTTTTATGTTCCAGGATCTTGTGTTCCGGTTCGACATTTTCAAGAAACTCAAAAAGCATAGAGGTTGTGTGTACACGGTGAGCTTTAATGGTGATGGTAACATTTTAGCCTCTGGTGCTGATGACAAGCAGATTATACTATGGGATTGGGAAACTGGACTTCCCAAGCTTACTTCCGGATCAGGTCATGCCAGTGTCTACTATGTTTTCCGAGCTAAAATCATGCCTTACACCGGTGATCGTAGCTTGATTACATGTGCTTCAGATGGTCAGGTGAATGAATTTCTTATGTAGGCATGCAGCAAAGACCTCTATGTAGTGAATTGAGGAAACTGACTAAAAACTGTTACCTAATTGTAGGTTCGACACGCTCGAATCTCCGAGTGTGGTGCTGAAACTGGGTTGGTGGCCAAACATCAGGGAAGAGCTAATACTTTGGCCGTTGAACCAAGAAACCCTCATTTAGTTTACACTAGTGGGGAAGATGGATTAGTGCAGCATGTGACTTGTGTTTCAAGTCATCATAATTTGAGCATTCATGGAATTCTTATTCTTCTTGTTCGTTTGTTCTATGATGATCTAGTTATAGCTGAGTTGTGGAGCAATTTTATACTATTGCATTTCAGATTGATCTTAAAACTGCAGAAGCTACAACACATTTTAAATGCAAACAGAGAGATCGTCACAGCCTCTCATCCGGGTTATTCCTCTGCATGCTATTACAATTGATCCAAGGAACCCGAATCTCTTTGCAGTCGAGGGATAGAATGATTATACCCGCCTTTATGATATTCGATAATATGAATGCGATGTTTCAACGGATTTTGGTCAACCTGCAGATTATTTTTGCTCCCCTCATGTGATTGATAATGATTTAACTGGAGAAGCATGCTTGGTCTTTTCATATCAGAGAGAGCTTATGGTCTCATACAGAGACAGATCCAGTTTGTAAGGGACATGTAAAACCTCAAGTTCATAAGGGTGTTAGTTTCTTTGGACCCAAATCCGAGTATTTGGTTAATGGATCCGACTCTCCAATATTTATTTTGAAGAAGAAAGGTGGAAAGCTTGTTCGTGTAATGCGAGCAGATGTACTTGGGGTCAAATGTTTTGTCTCATCCACATACCATTACAGACGGTTCTGAACCTTGCCCCACCCCACCCCACCCCACCCCACACCCAAAAAAAAAAAAGAAAAGAAAAAAGACCCCCGGCGTTGCTCGTATAGCCTCATATGCTACAGTAAACTATGATGAATATAACGAAGGTGAAGATTATGAATATATTCAATATCTTGTAATATTAGGTCGTCTTCGGATGATGATGACGAACGATGATGATAATGATGATGATTGTCTTGATGTTTATAATGACATTGACGATGATAGAGATTGTAAGTGATGATGATATAACAATGAATGCTAAAAGAATTTCATGCTGTGTAGTTGAGTAATTGTACATGGCATAGGGTTTTACAGATTTCCTATGTTAACTGCTTCTTTTATAATAGTGACAGTTAATTACAAACAACTGATTATTCGAACAATGCAAGTAAAAGTATTAAAAATGTAGACTTATTATAAGCAACAATACAATCAAATTAAAAATATTTAATCATACACTTTTGACTCCCACCAAAGAGGGGAAATTGTTTTTACTTGAACCTTCATTTTCTTTGTATTTTCTTTGTATCTATCCAACATTGATGTGCACATTGTGAACATAAACAAATTTATTGTTGGTATTTCCAAACTCCGTTCAAACGTTGCAGGCTTATTTCAATGAGTAAACATGTTTTTATATATTTTTAATTATATGTTATGATTCAAGTTTTATATTTTAACCAACTAGAAATTGTTGAAATAAATGTAGTTGGGGAATTGAGTGGGAGAAGGAGCACGAGAGTATTCACTAATGAGACTTGGATTTCGTGGCAAGAATACCATCTTTAATAAGCAACAGTCGAACACCCTTGACAAGTTCTTTAACCATGAACAACACAGCGGCTGCAAGAACGCTTTGTACGATTTTTGTGCTCATGCCTTTGTAAAACCCGGAAAATCCTTCATACCTGATCATCTTTATAATAGCATCCAGAGTCCCTATTTCGATGCACGTGGTGGAAGTATTAGAAATAAATTGAACCTTAACTCGAAACATATAAACATGGTTCCATCATCGGCTTTTGTTTT